TGGAGATCCTTGTCACATTTGTCTTCATCCTTAAAGCCTTTAGGTCTGACAACCTCAGTGGGTTCACTGACACACAGGGACTGTTCAACAGTAATGTTAGAATTCCGCTAGGTCTTCTCATCAATGATCCATTTGACACGTTGGCCAGTGAACATCAAGTCATTCACATCTTCATGACCAATCTTGAACTGTGACTCGACAACTTTCTTGAACGTCTCCAGAAACTCTGGGGTTCCAGTAATGAACAAGCCATCAACATGAAGACAACACATGCCAATTGGTTTTCTTCCCTTGGCATTACTGCCATCAACAGGGTCCATGAAGTGTTCCAAGAGTTCTTCAATAATTTCAGGTGTCAGTTGTGGTGTCGTGGCAAGGTATGTACGTTCTGAAGGTAAGTCGACTGAAACAAGAACTTCAGCTTCTTCTTCCAAACTTGTGGAAACATTTTCCTTGTTCAAGTCATGATTCACTTCAAGTAACCACCAAATTCCCTTCCTCTTCACAATAGAAGTCCTTAGATGGAACTTCCTTCGATCATAATATGGATCAGGAGTTCTCAATGCCTTTGCACGATAGGCAACTTGAGCATGACCATTTTCAAAAGGATACCAACCAGGCTTGTGTTCAACAGATTCCAAAAACTTCAACATGGTGTCATCAACAGCAGGAGTCCATGCACAATCTTCACTCTTCTTCTCCTTAAATTCTTTTCTTTGTTTCCATGTTTGGTTTTGTTGATAGCAAGCTGAAAACAATCTTTCTTCAACCAAAAGAGACTTATGAACTTCCTCAGCAGTGTCGGGGACACAGGTGCTGGTTCTGTTGCCTCAGAGTCAGCAAAACTAACCTGTTTTGGCTCCTTAAAAGCGCGATCATAGCACACATATGTGCACCTGTCCGCTCTTGTTGGTTGAATGCCAAGCGAAATCAGAAATTTGTCTAAGCGGTTCCACCATCTCCGAGGTGCGTCCGCAAGTCCATAGACGGAACGAGTGCACAAACCAACCAAGTAAGGAGGCAAACCAATGTCAGTAGGCAACTGAACATGGATAACGCGTCGGTCTAAGTCGTACGTTTCCCCCTGAAGGAAGGCAGTTTTCAAGTCTAAGTGGAGTAAATCCCAATACATCGAGGCTGCATGCTTAGATGCCACACGGAAACCACACCTGGTAGCAGTAGGACTGTCAGTCTGTAAGTCATACTTTTGAGCATCTTGAAAGCTTCTGCATACCCATCTAGCCTTGAACTTCTTGAATTGTCCATCCTTATCAACCTTGAGGGTCAACACCCATCTGCCAGTGACATAGTTATCAATCTTATGACGTCTCTTGTCACGAAAAGTCATGGCAGTGAAACCAAGATCTCCTTAGCATACTTCCTCAAGACTAGTTGGGTGATAACTGATTCTGCCTTTGGCTGCTTCTTTCCATTCTTGGCAAGATACTGTTCAAATTGATTGAAGCCAGTAACATCATATGAACCAAAATCAGGAGCAGCTTGGATTTTGGGTCCTGAAGGAACAAAAACAGTACCATCAATGTCGACAAAATCAGAGTGGTCTGATGTGTAAGGTTCAGTGTCCACATCTTCTTCCTGAAGCTGAGCAATCTCTTCCTCAGTCAAAACAGGAGTATCGTTTGTTTCATATGGTTCTGTTTCATCGTCATCGTTTTGAGATATACCAATTCTGGTGTTCCTTGTGACGACTGCTGTTGCGCTGGCTGCGCATGATCACTGGCACAAACGATGTTGGAGCAGTAGCCGGCGATGGAATTGAGCGATCATTTGAACTTGAGGCATTAGGATCATGTGAAGGTCCTTCATCTCCTTCATCATCATGTTTCTCAGTAGGAACTGAAATAGGTTTGACATGACCTGGTAATTGAACCTTTGGCCTCTTGATAATCACCTTGGCCTTTGCCTTTGGTAAAGCATCAGTAGAATCAGTTGAGATCTGTCTCTGTTTCCTTTGAACTCTGATTGGTTCAGAAGTTGGGTCAGGTCCTGGTGGAGGATCGTCATCTTGTCCAGGATCAGAAATTTCTTCGATTGGAACATCAGGATTAGAAAACGGAGTTGATGGTGAACTTGGGTCATGTGTTTCCCCCGAGTCCTGAATTCCTGGCATGTCCAAGTCATCATCAGGTGGTGGTCCATAGTCATCTGGAATGATGTATATACTCTTGATCATCATCATCATCATCATCAGGATCTGGTCCAGTATTATAATCAGGTTGATGGTCATCATCCAGAGGATCTTATGGTTCATCACCACTCAGCATGTCGTCATCATCATCATCATCATCATCATTTGGTGGAACATCGCCATGCTGATCTGGATGGATAGGATCGTTGTCAGTTGGTGCAGTTGGTGGTGTGCTTCCTTGAGTAGGAGGATCTACAACTCTCCTCTTGATAGCACCAGTCATCTCACGTGAAAAGACGATCATACTCCAATCATGAACATCCCGGCGGAAGGGAAACCGCGCGAGGGTTTTGATTGGTTGCTTCCAGGAGAGTCACAATCACCTGTAATTTACAATATAAAATGCTCTTCCGCTCAGTTTGGATAACTGAATTTGGGTTAAAAAAAGTGGATGCAAAACTCATTGAGTTTTAACAAATCCAGGTAAACATCATGTGCATCAGACGTAGTGAACGATCCCAGAGATCTCAGCAGCGTAGCAACATGTCACGTAGTAAACGATCCCACAGATCTCAGCAGCGTAGCAGCATGTAACGTAGTAAACGATCCCAGAGATCTCAGCAGCGTAGCAACATGTAACGTAGTAAACGATCCCACAGATCTCAGCAGCGTAGCAACCTGTAACGTAGTAAAAGATCCCAGAGATCTCAGCAGCGTAGCAACCTGTAACGTAGTAAAAGATCCCAGAGACCTCAGCAGCGTAGCAACATGTCACGTAGTAAGAAAGTCCCAAGGATCTCAGCAGCGTAGCAACATGTAACGTAGGAAACTATCTCAGAGATACCAGCAGCGTAGCAACATGTAACGTAGTAAAGGATCCCAGAGATCTTAGCAACATCGCAATATATCCTGTACGAAGTACGAGGAACGTTAACATGCCCCCCCACCCCACCCCACCCCAACCCCAACCCACACTAACATGGCAATATATCCTGTACGAAGTACGAGGAACGTTAACATGCCCCCCCACCCCACCCCACCCCAACCCCAACCCACACTAGAGATCTCAGCAGCGTAGCAACACGTAACGTAGTAAAAGATCCCAGAGATCTTAGCAACATGGCAATATATCATGTACGAAGTACAAGGAACGTTAACATGCCCCCCCACCCCACCCCACCCCAACCCCAAGACAAAGAGCAATACTCAAAAAAGAAGCAAAACGCACGTACGGTTTTCCTGCCGTAGGCATGAATATGGAACTATTCATGATGTGGATACAACTGTGACACAAACATGAAGTAAACATGATGATCATAGTCACCAGGTTTCCAAATGAGTAAGACAGCATCCTCAGGATGTTGGAACAAAGGGTTGACACGTCCATAAATTCCTCTGAGCACGCTGCAATCTTCAAAGTACATTTGAGGCAATGTCTTCTTCCTGATATCTTGAAGTCCACAATGATTCTGGGATCGGTTGATTCTCTGACACTAGCCTCTGTACTCCTTGGCAGCTGATCAATCTTTTGCAATGTTTGGATAAGTAACTGAGTGGTAAACCTCTGTGGAAGTATGTGCTTCAATGGCACAGGAATAGAGGTCTCAACATGATGCAAGTCTTGCAACAAACATGAACATCATATGCAGGGGCTTCCTTCGTGGTCATCTGCTGCGTCATATGGATTGAGGGTTGTTGGGGTGCTCTTCTCATTGCATAAGAGTCATGTTGGTTCCATCCATCTGCATCGACAATGTCGAAGTCATCGTCATCATAGCCATGGCGTACCATATCGGGCTCCACCTGGAGCTCACCTTCAATGAAGGATCACAGCTCCGCTACCACTTGAAGAGGGGCACTAGCGGCTAGGTTAGATCAGCTAGAGCGTCTTCCTAAGACAGCTTCACACCTTTTATACTCGGCCAATAGCCAGTCGGTGCGGTGTCCACAGGATTACTCTATCTCTCTCTTGAGCCGTGACAGCGTATGTAAATGTGCTCAATACTCATGCTATATCCACGTAGGATCGAAGCCCAAACAAAAACAGTGGACATCTTTTCTTGCACATACGCGCATACTTCCTACTACGCTAAAGACATTTTCTCCTGCACACACACACACATTCCTCTTTTTACGCTAGAAGCATCTTCTCTTCCACATACGCACATACTTCCGGCTACAGACATCTTTTCGTGCACTCACACACACATACTTCTTTTTATGCTAGAGACATCCTTTCTTGAATATACAAACATACTTCTTGCTTTGCTACAGATGTTTTTTGTTGCACATACGCACATACTTCCTGGGTCGCTATATGCATCTTTTCTTGCACTTACCCACGTACTGTGCTTGATGCTACGCGAGAGACATCTTTTCTTGCACATACACAGGGAGGAAAAAAACGTTGTGCTTTGAAGAATCTTGTCCCTGTAAAACCCAATCGCATGTTACAATGGGTCTTCAAAATCCCCGGGCTTTTCAAGGTGCAATTCTAACATGACATGATTACGGCAGGTGCCAAGCACGTTTGATTCCAAAACATGGGCAACTGCTAGCGCGATTGTCACCCCGCCAGGATGTTTATGTTTTTTGGGGTTTACAGAAACCATCCCCGTGTCCTTCAAAAAGTTTGCTCGTTTTGCTCTTTTAAATTCCAACAAAACAAAAACCCTGTAAAACGCAGGAGATTGGATCATGCACCCCCAAAAACACGCACGAACTTCTACCAGCCCGACGCGTGGTAAAACGGCCTCATGGTGGCCTTTTATCGAAGGGGATGACATGAAGATAAAAGAAATCATAGGAAATCTATATGGTTGGAAAAATGACGGATTGGTGGTCTCGCCAGGCTCCAGAGCATGGACGAGAAGCTAAGTACTCTCGTTCCAGAGAAACCATCGGCCTTCCGACGCAAGGCCGGGAGGGGGTGTATAAATGGTGGCGATTGGTGATGTGACATTGGGAGACACGGAGATACTCCAACTGGCAACATTCACTTTTCCCCATGGTGAGTTTGGAAAGACATAGCTTCACAGGGGGATGCCTTGTTTGGACGCAACGCTTGAGTTGTTCGGGGTTTGATCGCAGATGTCGATGATCTCGAAGAAGGAGACCAACGCCAAGCTGGAGAAACCCGATACACCTAGCATCCTGGCAGCTGGATGCTGGACACTCCGGATTTGATAGGAACCAGCACCCTAGAGAATCTGTTGGCTTGAGCCCGGCATGTTGGTAATGTTTAAAGTAGACCCTTCTAAGACCTGAAGTTGGCACACCCTTGAATCCCAAGACATGTTTTCTTTCATGGCATGGTGTTTCTTTTTTTGGGCGGTATTTCAGTGTATCTTGTGTTTTCACGTGGTTTCCTGAAGTTGGTCATGATTTTGCCTGGCAGCTGGAGAAAACTAAGTACACCCACAAACTCCAAAACCAGCAGGGGGAACCTGCAACACCCACACATTGACAAAAAGGCTAGGCAAACACCGCTGCATGCATTGCTGTGGCAGCATGGTTTGAACTGCTTGTTCAGCACCATCATATCACATATGAAAACAACTGTGTTTCATTGTCTTTCTTTGTTCCCCACATCTTTGTGTGGGGTTCTTGTTTTTGGTTGTGCACTCCCGCCTGCCTCCTGCCTCCAGCCGCCTCTCTTACTCACACACAGCTTACTCACATACAACTTGCTCACACACACAACTTGCTCACACAGAACTTGCTCACACGTAACTTGCTCACACACAATTTGCTCACACACACACACACGCACTTACTCACACACACAACTTGCTCACACACAACTTACTCACACACACACAACTTACTCACAGACAACTTGCTCACACGCAACTCTCTAACAAACACAACTTGCTCACACACACACACAACGGCTTGCTCATATACAGCTCTCACACACAAATTATACCCACACACACACACACACAACTTACTCACACACACACACACAACTTACTCACACACAACTCTAAAACACACACAATACTCACACACACACAACTTGCTCACATAGAACTCTCATACACACAACCCTCACACACACACACAACCAACTCTCTCTCTCTCTCACACACACACTCACAACTTCCACACAAAATCACACACAACATGCTCACACACAACTTGCGCGGTTGGGTCCCGTGGTCGCCGCGGCTCTTTGCGTGGCACTTGGCGACATCGGCCTTCACTTTGCGTCGCAGGCGGTGGCGCGCGATATCGATGTGTATTCTGCGTGGCAAGCGTGGCACTCGGCCTTCACTTCGGGTAGCAGGCGTGGCACTCAGCGACGCTGGGCTGGCTCTGGTGGCGCGCTTGGGTCCCAGTTGACGCCGTGGACGCCGCGGCTGTTTGTGTGGCAGGCATGGCACTTGGCGACATCGACGTGCGACATCGACCGTCACTTTGTGTGGCAGGCATTGCACTTATGGCGCTGGGCTGGCTCTGGTGGTGCGCTTGGGTCGCGTGGTGGCCGTGGCGGATTGCGTGGCAGGCGTGGCACTTGGCGACAGCGACCGTCGCTTTGCGTGGCAGGCGTGGCGCTTGGCGACATCGACGTGCATTCTGCGTGGCAGGCGTGGCGCTTATGGCACTGGGCTGGCTCTGGTGGCGCGCTTGGGTCCGGTGGTCGCCGCGGCGGTTTTCGTGGCAGGCGCTTTTCATGGCGTGGACCATGTTTTGTGTGCGGCCACACAACGCACGCATACAGACATACACGCAGTCATACACACGCACGACACACGTAAACAAATACAGACATACAAACAAGTCTTTCACACACCAGTCTTTCATACATACCTTTCACCCTCTCATGTCTCTTTCCTGCCTACTTTCCCATTCCGTCTTCACCTCTTTTTCTGTGATTTATTGGAAGAAGTTGACATGTGGGGTTCTCCGGCCCTTGAATTTTGGATGATTTTGGAAGTTTCTGGAGGTTTCTGGTTTTGAGGGCATCAGGTGACCTAGTCCTCTATGTAGACAGCCCCTTCAAATATCTGAGTTCAGGGCCGCAAATCATGACCGTGGTGGCACCTTGTTGCTCAGGAAATTCCAGAAATGCGGCAGAATTCCGGGCGGACTTCGACGCAATAGATCAAAAACTTGGCATTCGAGTCATGAAGTCACTTGGTGATCTTGGTGTCACGGGATGAAGCCATCTGTGAAACCAAGGTGTGGGCACATTCAATTGCACGCATTGTAGATGATAGATGCATATGGAGGTTTCCTAAAATGGGGTTAGCCCTAAATCATCAATTTTAATATGATTTTCCATCATAAACCATCCAGCTATTGGGGACCCCCCATTTTAGGAAACTTCCATATAGGTTCCCATATAGGTCTTCTATTGCTGCAGATTTCGGGGGAGTGGTCGGTGGTCGCAGATCCATTTCTGAGCTCGGAGAGGCGCACAGTCATGAGCTGGGCTCAAACCTAGGGTGCTGAAAATGGGAAATACGAAACTACCAAACAAAGACCAAACTCTGTGGAATTTGGTGATGTTTGGTATTGTTTGGTGCAAAACCGTTTTACCTTCCTTCAATGACTAGAAATGACAATCCAAAATCGGTGGACCTTGGCCCAGGGCAGCCAAGCGCCGCGCTGATCAAGCAGGACCCAGCTGTGGAAAGCGCCCAAACTCATGAATTCAATAGAATCCAGGCGGCAACAGGCTTCAGTTTCTGCCAAAGCTTGAGAAGACCCGGGGATCATTTGATTTTGGCCATTCGGGAACCAACCATGCACACATCATATATATATATAATATTATATAGTTATAATCATGTCAATTATGTCTGTATATATATATAGTGTGTGTGTGCATATTGTAAGGTATAAAACATACATAAATACATACATAAATAGATAAAGGGCTATATATACATTTTTGCAAATAGATATATGCATATCTGAGATGATCAAAAATAATGTCTTGGACTTGGATATGCACCCGGGATATATATATACAAATAGATATGGTATAGTATCAGCTCGTTGTTTTTTTAATTATGTTGCACTGCGTCATGTCACATGGCATTATTGCATTATAATTATGCCATGCCATTTTTTCAAACACAAATTCATAGGTAGATTGACACACACGCACACAAGCACAACACGTACACACACACAACATGCGTACACACGCAAACATATATATGTGTATGTATATGTATGTGTATATGTAAATGTGTATGTATATGTATATGTATATGTATATAGTTTGTATATGTTTGATGTATTATGTATTCTGTATAATGTATATATATATAAATACATACATACATACACACCCTTTGGGAATCAAAGGTGGCAATGGAAAATCCAGCGGCAGGACCGTTGTGGCACAGAAGCCAGTCCATCGGAGTCATAGGCCAAGTCACCACAGCTGCAGTGTGGTAAAAACAATGCCATACACCATCCCCACAAGCAATGCCATAAATGGGTGGTATAAACATAAACCATTCCCAGACATGGGTGGTTAATGGCAGTGTTTTAACCACATTATGTGTAGATAAGATCGGATGGGAGGGATAGGATTAGATGAGAATAGATGAGCAACTTGAATATCCATGCAAAACTCGCAGTCTCTTCGTTTCCTCTCAACTCCAGTTGGAATTGCAAGTTGCAAGTAGGCAACTGGTCCAAGTTCTGACCCACTGGCAGTGGTCTTTTGGTTTCCTTCAGATTTGATGAATGGTGCGGTTTCAAGCTTCCAAGATTCTCTGCGTCAAATTGGGTAATTACTCAAAAGGTTGGGATGGCTAATAGCTAAAAAGGGCTGAAATCTATGGTCTTAGATTCGTAGATGGGTCTTGAATTTTGACCCATCCCCAAATGTCAGAGTTATTTGAATGCCAAATAGCTGCGACCTTGGTCCAAGATGGGTTCAGCACGCCTGGGACCAGGCCATACGGCGCAGGAGCCGGAGCAGAGATAGAAGCCATAGATGAGGGGGATGGGAAGAAACTGATACCGGTTGTAATATGGGGTTGTCTGAAAATAGGGCACCCCAAAATTTGATGGTTAATCCCAATTGGGGGTGTATCTTATTTTCAGGCATATCCATATAATGGTTCATAATGGCTTTAATATTGGTTAATGATTGTTACTGATGGTTAGTAATTCTCAAGGATGTGGGTATGCGACGCTACTGGATGAAGAATGGATGCTTGGAAGAATATGGAACAATATGGTTCATAAACCATCCCCTAAATCGCCATAAATGGGTGTTATAAACAATCCCCACATGGTGCTTACGGCATTGGGTTGCCCACATTGATTTTCAGCGCATCTAAATTCCACTTGGAGATATCACGGTCACTCACCAAACATTGATTGGCGATCAAGGAGCCAAATCTGTTGGGTTTTCCATTTGTTTGGACCTACTTTCAAGTCATATTCCGTCATCTAGAGAAAATGCTTTCTTCGAGTGATCCATAAATTCTGACATTCTGACATACATTCTGACATTCCATTTGGCATTTTAACTAGCATTTTTTTTTGACACCCCAGCTGACATGACAAAGTCTCACGCATGATTTGACATATACTCTCATCTGGGCTCTGCCTGGCATATGCTGACGTAGAATTTGACACATTCTTTGACAATCTATCTGAAATTTATCTGACATCCTATTTGGCTTATATTCCCAGAGTCTATCTTTATATTCTGGCAGACTATCTGACTTCATTTGGCAATCTACCCGAAATTTATCTGGCATTCTCTATCTAACGTATATTCCGACATGTATTTTGACACACATTCTGACATACTATGTGGCGTTCTATAGGTGGCATTTTATCCGGCAAAGTGCTCGGGTCCGACGAGCCCCAGTCTGCGAGCTCGCGATCGTGTGCAGGAGAAGGAGGAGGAACGAGCTCTTAGAAAACCTAGGGGCCCCCACTGGAGAAACATCCTGAGATAGGTAATGACGAATTCGATGTCGTGTGAATCTACTCCGTGAATATTGGATCACCTTCTTTATGTCTTTCATTCACTCCGTCGCTCTTCCTGACTTTGTTTCCCTTTCTTTCTTGCTTTCTTTCCTTTCATCCTGTTTTTTCCTTTCCTTATTCTTCCCTTCCTTATTCTTTTTTCCCTTTCTTCCTTTTTTCTCCCTGTCCTTCTTGCTTTTCTTTTCTTTTCTTTCTTTCTGCTTGTTTGTCATTAAGGGGATCATTGGCATTCCAAGGATTCGAGATGAATGGTGCTATGGAACTTACAACAGCTGTAGCAAAGGAATGAAGGTCTTGGGGACTGAGGACAATTTTTAAGAAGTTCCTGGGCACAACAGAGCAGCACCCGAACAAACCTATTGTGTAATCAGTATTTGGGTGGCTCATGGGGTAGCACCTTGAACAATTGTTTCGGTGTTGATTCTTGCCAAGGCTTATGTATGGAAACTTTTCTTTGGGGAGCAGCAGCATTTTTCGCTGGAAAACTCGTGTTCATCAAGATGCGAAAGGCAGAAGGAAAGGAGTGGTGCCTTTTGGAATTCATAGAAAAAACTAACGGAAGGTCCTCCTCAAAAAAATGAGTCTGAGGAGCACAATAGGGCACCACCGCGGGCACCACCGCGGGCACCAGCACCAGCACTAGCACCAGCACCACTACTACTGTATTCAAGGTTGGGATCATCCAGCCAGCCAATTTAATTGACCATATAATGATCCCCAAAAGATAAGTCATTTATCACAACTTTATATCGGACGGCTTCTGAGTGGTGCGTGCACAGCGGTGGCAGTGCAGCGCAGCACGAAGTTCAATGTCCAACAGGTCGCTTTGGACACATTTCAAGGAGGGGTGCAGGAGTTTGCCACCACCCAACTTCCATGGTATGCCACAAGCTGTGGGACCGCACTAGGGTACAAACTTCAAATGTTTCCAGCAGGGAAAGATGCATTCTCGGCAAACCCTGCCTGAAACTGACGTGGCTAGGCATGGCTATTGTTAGGCACGCCCACCGGTCCATTGACCAACCAGTGTAGTTGGTGCTAATGCTGTCTAGCAAACCAACGTGACGGAAGCAGATCTAAATTGATCGGCTGTTTAAATCAAGAAAAAATGGAGATGGGATGCCGCACCCAGGTCTCCAAAATCTATAGGTCAAAAACATTGGAAGTGTGACCCATGTTGGGAACACCTTTGCAGCAAGGTTGTGCCGCTCCAACTTTGCTACCGCCATGTTTCTGAGCCGGCCCAAAGCTAATACAATCACTGTCGAGTGCTGCTCCATGTTGTCTCCAACACGCCCAGAAGTGGGCTAGAAGATGACCCACGCAGCTCATCCAAGGCTAGCTTGCACGATCCAAACGCATCTTTGGGCAGCGGACTGCAAACTGGGTCTGTCGAATCATAACATCCTTGCAGCTGACTTGCAGGCCGCGCTGACCCAAAGCAGGTGCTGTCGAGGTTGAAGCCACGCATTGCTTTCAAGGAAGCTGCGATGCCAAAAGGCAAGTTGCACATAGTCATCCATCTGGATGAAGTCGCGAACCAGGCGCCCAAAATGCAGAGAAAAGTTTTGAAGGTTGCCAGCACGCTAGCATTGGGTGGCTGCAGGGCACAGTGATTGGTGATCCCATCTTGCACATGACCAGGAGTAGCCAGGATCCTCTTCCCAAGTAGCATCGGGGATGCAAAACAATCAAATGCCTTTTTGACGACAGGACCGCGCAACGAGGAAACGAAGCCATGGTTTAACGATCTCCCAGGCATCAGTTGAAAACAGCCCCGCTACTGCAAAGACTTGGGCCGAGGGCTTTTATCGCAATTTTAACTAGCTATCTATCGATCTATCCATCGATCTATCGATCTATCTATCGATCTATCTATCGATCTATCGATCGATCTATCCATCTATCTATCGATCTATCGACCTATCTATCGATCTATCGATCGATCTATCGATCTATCCACTATCGATCTATCTATCTATCTATCTATCCATCCATCCATCCATTCATCCATCCATCCACCCTATCTATCTATCTATCTAATCTAATCTTATCTAATCTAATCTAATCTTATCTTATCTTATCCTATCTATCTATCTATTCTATTCTATTCTATCCTATCCTATCCTATCCTATCTTATCTATCTATTCTATCTTATCTATCTTATCTATCTTATCTATCTTATCTATCTAATCTATCTAATCTATCTAATCTATCTAATCTATCTAATCTATCTAATCTATCTAATCTATCTAATCTATCTAATCTATCTAATCTATCTAATCTCTCTAATCTCTCTAATCTCTCTAATCTCTCTAATCTCTCTAATCTATCTAATCTATCTAATCTATCTAATCTATCTAATCTATCTAATCTATCTAATCTATCTAATCTATCTAATCTATCTAATCTATCTAATCTATCTAATCTATCTAATCTATCTAATCTATCTAATCTATCTAATCTATCTACTCTATCTAATCTATCTAATCTATCTAATCTATCTAATCTATCTAATCAATCTAATGTATCTAATCTATCTAACCTATCTGATCTATCTAATCTACCTAAGCTACCTAATCTATCTATCTATCCTATCTAATCTATCTAATCTATCTAATCTCTAATCTCTATCTAATCTATCTAATCTATCTAATCTATCTAATCTATCTAATCTATCTAATCTATCTAATCTATCTAATCTATCTTATCTATCTTATCTATCTATCTAATCTAATCTAATCTAACCTATCTAATCTAATCTATTCTAATTCCAATTCCAATACCAATTCCAATTCTAATTCTAATTCTATTTCTATTACTAATTCTTATTCTATTCTATTCTATTCTGTTCTGTCCTAATCTATTCTATTCTAATCTATTCTATTCAATTCTAATTCTAATTCCAATTCCAATTCGAATTCTATTTCTATTTCTATTTCTAATTCTTATTCTATTCTTTTCTATCTATCTATATGCATGCATCTGTCACCATTTTATGGTATTTTATCCAATTTCCCGGATTGCTTTAATTTAAGACCAAGGCTCAAGCCATGAGACATGCTCGGCTGGAGGACCAGAGCCCCCGCGTGGCCAAAGCTTTCAGTCGAGCCAGCAAGACCAGCAAGGATGGCCGGGTTGAAGAGTTGGGTGTTAGCAATAAAAAATACATAGCTTCCATGTGCAATATATACATATATATGCATACTAACACACATACATTTCAATATATAGCAGATTCTTTTTTTGACAGAAATTATTGAATTATCTGGTGGTGAATGGAGGGAGCGGTGCGCTGAGTTATGGTTGTAAGTTGTATCCATACTCCCGAATGATCTTAAAAATGGGAGCCAAAGAGCTACGCATTGAGTTTAACCACATGATAGATGGATTTATTGACTGTCTTCTGCTTTCACGGATTGTTGTATACCCATTAGCGGTCTGAAGGAGTAAAACCATGATATACACATTGCACTGTAGCATGTTTGAACACCAGGGATGAACATGACTAAACATCGGGATTTAATTTTCGCTGGCCACACACATAGAGATGAGTCAAAATTGAAGCACTTTGGGGGGGCACATATTCGTATATTTAGAGCCCGGGCAAGCTGGGCGCAGAAGCTTCGAAGGGGGGAAGCATATAAAGAGAAGGGGGGGCCTATAGGAACGAAGCCTGACCGGCTGGCTGTCACGGCCGTTGACTGAGCCTACTCTTGCAATTTTTTCTCCTTGACATCCTTGTCTGATGATGCCACTTTCTCTTTATCCGGTTTGCGCTTGTCATCTCTGAATCTTGACAGCCTTTCTTGTTGACAGCTGTGAAGCCGGAGACCTGAGACATGTTTTTCTGATGTATGTCTCTTGAAACCAATGGTTTTTTAGCCACTTTCTGTTGACGTCTCTTTCTCTTGGCATCCGTATCCTTGGGCATCCCTTTTTCTTGAGACCTTCTTTCTTGACATCTCCTTTGTTTTGAGGTGGTTGTTCATTCTCATGCCTTTCCCGTTGCGTCTTTTACTTTTTCTCCTGACACCTCTTTCTTTTGAAATTTTCGTAATCTGCTAGCAAATCCTTTGTGCTACAATACACGACTCCACAAAGTACGTCGAGTACTACAAAACTTCCACAAAGTGCTCCCAGCACTACTTTGTCTTACAAGACTTGCAAAAAGTACTTCCCAGTACTACTTCGTACTACGAAGCTTGCACAAGGCACTTCCCAGTACCACTTCGTACTACGAAACTTGCGCCAAATATTTCCCAGTACTACTTGCGCAATTTATTTCCCAGTGCTACTTTGTACTACAAGGCTTGCCCAAAAGGGTTCCCAGAACTACTTTGTACTACAAGGCTTGCACAAATACCAGCAAAACTTGCACAAAGCATTTCCCAATAACACTTTTTACAAGGCTTGCACCAAGTACTTCCCAGCACTACTTTGTACTACTAGCCTTGCACAAAGTACTTCCCAGTACTACTTTGTACTGCAAGATTCACACAAAATACTTCTAGTACTTCCCAGTACTACTTCGTACAACAAAAATTACGCAAAGAGTACTTTCCATTACTAGTTTGTACTACAAGACTTGCGGAAAACACTTCCCAATACTACTTTGTACTGCAAGACTTGCGCAAGGTATTTCCCAGTACTACTTTGTACTACAAAGCTTGCACGAAGTACTTCCCAGTACTACTTCGTACTACACAGCTTGCACAAAGTGCTTTCCAGTACTACTTCATACTGCAAAGGTTGCACGAAGTACTTCCCAGCACTGCAAGACTTGCGCAAAGTACTTCCCAGCACTAGAGCTTGCGCAAAGCACTTCCCAGTACTCCTTTGCACTACAAGATTTGCACAAAGTACTTCACAGTACTACTTCATAGTGCAAGACTTGGCCAAAGAGTACTTCCCAGTACTAGTTTGTACTACAATAGACTTGCACAAAACACTTCCCAGTACTACTTCGTACTGCAAGACTTGCACAAAGTATTTCCCAGTACTACTTTGTACTACAAAGCTTGTACGAAGTACTTCCCAGTACCACTTTGTACAGCACGGCTTGCACAAAGTACTTCCCAGTACAACTTCGTACTGCGAGACTTGTGCAAGATACTTCCCGGTATTTTTTGTACTGCAAAGCTTGCACAATACTTCCCAGTATGTACTACTTCGTACTGCACAGCTTCCACAAAGGACTTCTCAGTACAAGATTTTACTTTAAAGCTTTTTTGTAGGAATCATATTACGAACAGAAGCTTTTGCACAGAGAAACTTTTACAGCAAAACCGGATCTCGGCGCCAAAGCGGAAAAAAGATTTTGAAGAACGTTTGAAAAGACATTCTAAAATAAAAAGTGCCAGCGCCAAAGTTCAGAAAAAATGCTGAAAAATCAGCATCGGAACCTTAATGCAGCCACTGCAATACGATTAACGACGCTCAGCTGCAAAAAGAAATTGAGAACGCGTGCAGCCACAACAGAAAGAAGCATTGATGCCCGCGACTCCACTGCGATCTGCAGAGAATGAGTTGGAAAACGCCATAGAACTACGCGCAAATGGCAACAGAAATTGCAGCTCCAAAACCTGGATCTCGGCGCCAAAGCGAAAAAACAACGATCAGAAAATTGCTGCAAAATCAGCATTGCAACCTTGATGCAGCCACTGCAGTACGATTTATGACACCCAGCTGCAAAAGACACGAGCATTATGCACGCAGCCACAACAGCAAAAAGCATTGATGCAGCGACCCCACTGCGATCTGCAGAGGCTGAGTTGGAAAATACCATAGAACTATGTGCAACGGCAAATAAAAATTTAGCCCCAAAAACGAAGCATTGCAAGCTTGGATCACCAAACACAATGGCACAGCGCGCTCAGTCATCTCTTTGACCTCTCTCAGAGTCAACTTTCGCCGAAGACACCGTCCAACCACACACGATCCCATGCCCCCCACGTCGCCGCCAGGAAGCGCTTTATGCGAAACAGGACGAAGCGTCGAACCAGCCATTCCAATACAAACTGCAACAAGCACATGGGCACAGCGCAGTCGATGAGCTCAATGACCTTCTTGAAAGTCAACTTTGCAATCGAAAAGCCACGCGAGCCCAAAATGATCACCCCGAGCGCAAGCCGCACCCGTCGCACAGATAAGGTTCCCCACATCGCTGCCGAGATGCACTTTATGCGGAAAGAAACGCAGGGTATTGTGCGATCCCCAACCTTCAAGAATTACCTTGACAGCCAGCAGCTTGCAAATTCACAATGGGACTGCGTCAGCCAAGACATCGATCATGAACATGTACCTAGCCATGCAAACTGCAACCCTAGATCACTAAACTCATTGGCACAGCGCAGTCGATGAGCTCATTGACCTTCTTGGAAGTCAATTTGAAAGGGAGGAAGCCAGACAAGGTTCCCCACATCGCCGCCGAGACACTTTATGCGAAAAGATATAGAGGTTCGTGCAATTCCTAACCTTCAATAAGCGTCACCTGGCTTGTTGCAAATCACTATTAGAACTGTATCAACCACCGCTGCAATCACCCAGTGCGATCTGCACCCCTGAATTCAACTTTACACTGTCGGACGTGTCTGACATGAAACGAACAAAGACCGCACCCGCCGCACAAACACGGTTCCCCACAGTGATGCCGAGACGCACTGTGTGCGAGAAAACCTTGGGTTCCGTGCGATTCCTAACCTTCAAGCGTCACCTGGACGAAGCAAGTACTCTCTGAACTTCCCTACTTTCTTTACTTCCCTACTCTTTCCACTTCCCTACTCTCTTCACTTCCCTACTCTCTTCCCTTCCCTTCTCTCTTCATTTCCCCGCTCTTTTCACTTCCCTACTCTCTTCACTTCCCTTCTCTCTTCACTTCCCCGCTCTTTCCACTTCCCTACTCTCTTCACTTCCCTATTCTCTTCACTTCCCCACTCTTTCCATTTCCCTGCTCTCTGCACTTCTCTGCTCTCTTCACTTCCCCATTCATTCCCTTCACTTCCCTACTTTCTTCGCGTCGCCTGGACGAAGCAATTCCACAGCGATCTGTGCTCTCTTCACTTCCTACTCTCTTCACTTCCCTGCCCTCTTCACTTCCCTACTCTTTCCACTTCCCTACTCTCTTTCCACTTCCTTACTCTCTTCACTTGCCTACTCTCTTCACTCCCCTGCTCTCTCCACTTCCCTACTCTCTTCACTTCTCTGCTTTCTTCACTTCCCTACACTTTCCACTTCCCTACTCCCTGCACTTCTCTATTCTCTTCACTTACCCATTCCCTTCACCTCCACACTTTCTTCACTTCTCTACTTTCTTCCCTTTTTGAAATCCGTAAAACGGAGTTTAGACTTCTAAACTTCCTTTGATAAAAAGATAAATAGATAAACAAGGCAACCAGTTGACTCGCCGCCCTCGTAAGGGTGGCAAATTTGAAGTTGAGATTTTCGAGGCTAAGAGACAAAAGGCTGGTATTTGTGGGACTTGTCAAACATGTTTGCAACATAGACATTCATTCCATTGACGGGCATGTGACTCAAATGTCAAAATTTGCATTTCGCCTGCGCGGTGAATCGATTTTTTCTTCGAGGATTTTAAAAACATTATATATAAATTTATGATTTTCAATTATCCCATGCAAACATCCACCCATCCATGCTTTCTCTTCTCGAAGCTTCGAAGCCTCAGTGCCAAAGTGCTTTTGGCAACGCCACGGCCACAGACTCCAACAAGGCGACTCAAGGCGACACTATGACGCCATGTCCAGCTGTAAGCCCAAGAGTACCTTTATTGTACAGAACGGCAACAAGTTCCGTGGGCCATGTGTAATACTCGTCAAGAACGTTATCACCCCCCCACCCCCTCCTGATGACCATACGAGAGCATGTGCAACATGTTAACAATGGCAACAAGTTGTATAATACTCGTCAAGAACGTTAACACCCCTTCACCCCCTGATGACCATACGAGAGCATGTGCAACATGTTAACAACGGCAACAAGTTCCGTGGGCCATGTGTAATACTCATCAAGAACGTTATCGCCCCCCCCACCCCACCCCCCCACCGAGAGCATGTGCAACATGTTGAACAAAGCCGAAATTCAAATCCAGAACCCCTATTTTCCGTATTTGCAACCCTTCCATGGGATCGTAAATGGCACATCTCACAATAAGCAACCCTTCCAAGGGCGGCGTATCAGCTGCATGCCATAAACAAATACATGAGTAAAAACATAGTTATAATATTATGTAATATATATCAACTAGTTTTATACATATATATATATAACCTAGTATAACACATTTTAATTTAATGTAATATAACTTGTGGCCTGCGTTGGCCTCTTTATAGAGGCTCCTCTGTCAGGCACCAGAACTATTCACTAATTTCCCAGAACTAATCACTATTTTGTCACTTTTTTGACAGAACTAATCACTAAATTTGGTGTGGCATCCATTATATCTGGAATTGGGAATATAGAGAGAGTAAACCTACAACTGACTTTATGGCAGTGGGCACTTGAATTTTCTCTTTTGTCCTATCCAGGACACTTGCACTGGCTCAAAAATTGAGCCCGCTGTATTTTGCAGTGGTCAGCCAGGGTCATGGCTGCTAGGGGCCATGGGGAGGAGAGCGAATCTTCAGATGACTGTGGGTCATTCGTGAAATCACTGATTTCCCTTTTCCCTGACAGCGAGCCTGAAACTGAACCGATCCTTGTCTTAAATGGAAGTTGCTATGTCCTAACACCTATGTGGATAGCTCATCTCCCTTTAGCTTGCAGTCTGCAAGGCTATCCTGGAGTAATTCATGATAATCTGGCAGGTAGCGACTGAGGGATGGCTGTTATGCCTATGCCGTTAAAATCCTCGAGATTATTATTGTTTGATGAGAAAAAAGGGGAAAATGCGAAATTGAATATAAACAAAGTGGGAATACCAATTTTGCTTGCTTGAAATTGCGATTTAGCTCTAGCACAGTAGTAGACACATTGGAGTGATTCTATAGGAATATCTTGGGATATGATGTGACCAACAGTTTAAATAGAACTTGGAATTTGTGTTTGTCCAGAGATTGGAGGTTTCTGGGCCCCAACCACATTGGGAATTTAATGGGGGTACAAGGGGATAGGATATGGGATATGGGTGAATCAACAAAATAATCTGTGTTTCCCTGAAATTGGTGGCGCCCCTAAAGTTGATTATACCCAAAATGATAAGAGTACAAATTCCCAGATACGATGTGGAAATAAAAAAATAAAACCATGTTCAGCCCGACTCATGTACACTTGTCATTCGTTTTTATTTTTGGCATGTGCATTTCGGTCATGGAGTGTTTTATCTATCCCCCACTGTGAGAGCGTACAATATCAAATGGGATAAGCCCCGGTTGTATACATACGAGCCAAATTCAATCCCACGTAAGACACCTCACCAGCTGGGAAAAAACATGACGCTTTCATTCTGCTAGTATTTGGGCTATCGACGATTTGCCATTGCCGCTTTGGGTTCCTGCTGCGCACAGAAGTAGATTCAAACCATTTCAAACACACAGCCTTGCAACGACAAAGCAAACAAACTTAGACATGTCACGCTTGGCACGGCAACCGCCCATGACTTTAGGTGTTCGACGGCAGACAACTTGAATGAGCCCAAGACCTTTCAGTGGGCGCAGCGCTATGCAGACAAACTGGGCTTCGCAACGTGAAGCTGCATGTCTTAATGCAGGCATGGTTGGATTTTCTTGGTGCCGATCAGCTTTGGTAGCTTTGAAGGTATTAGGTTGGATATGGTATGCCACAGCTTTGGATACTTTCCCGTATTTTTCAGGGGGTTACCATCGCAGCTCATGGCTGTCCAATCCGAGGCTGGACATCGCCGAAGGTTGTGCTGTGGCTGCCACTGGAACTTACGCGATGATGCTTGACAGCAAAAGTTCATCAAACCAAACAAGTGGGCTGAATTGTGATCGCTTTGATGTCCCGCTCTGACTAATGTTTTGGAAATCTTGAGCATTTGATTAGGTGACAGACTACCAATTAGATCCCAGGATTTAGGGCTCGGTGCCTAGTATACCTACAGCTCGTGAAATTCCTTTTTCATGTTTACATCCTTGGGAAAGGTTTGACTGCCTCCTGATTTTGATCCAAAGAGTGTTCGTGGTTCTAGTCAGAAAGGACATATGCCCAAACCAGGCAGTTGCCCAGAACATCGGAGAGATGGTGAGCAAAGTTATCCCCCAGTTTGATTCGCCACATGGTGGGCAAGCTGACCGGGAAACGGTTCAACAACTCATGGCTTACAATCGGGCAGTTCTGTCAGATTTGGGCAGAGAGCCAACTTTCCCCCCTCCATCTCAGGACGGGAGTGGCCGGGGTGTCCAAAATTGGTTCACTGCCAGGGAGCTTTGGGTTCCTGGTTTTAAAGTAGAAGCTGAACTAATCACTATTTTTTCCGGATTTTTCCGGAACTAATCACTATTTTTGCCAGCAATGTTCCAAAAAGACTGACAAATTTCTAAGGGGACCGGCTCCCAGGCTGTAGGTCTCACTAATCCCCATGCCCCGGTTTGGCAGGATGGCAAGTCTTCTGAGCAGCGCAAGAAACTTGTGAAGAGTATGAAGAAAGAGCTTGGGCTGCAACCCTATGGGGAAATACCATCCTACAGTGAAACCATTCTCCCCAAGGAGGTTGGTGACAAGCTCAATGCACGTGAAAAGGAATCCCTTGATCTTCAATGGGCCATCCTGCAAGCCCCTTTGCTGAAACTCAGGTTTGGATTTAAGATTCTCAGCTTGTAAGAAGTAGATACAGTAGATGAGATTTGGGGAGCTCAAGAATTGCAAGATGCAATTAGCAAGAGTCCAATCAACCGTGACTAGTGGCTAGGCTAGACCCAAATCAGCTAGACAAAACACTATCGCTCAGAAAAAGCTACAGAACAAAGGAAAAAGGAAACCATTGAAAATAACATTAACATGTTTTTAGCTGATGTCATCATGATGTCATATAGGCTTGTCTAGAGAACCGTTCGAAACCGTTTCGAACCGCTCACATGCTTTTGCCAGTGATTGGTTCGAAACCGTTCGAAACCGTTTCGAACTAATCAATACCTCTACATAAGACATGTCACCCCATATCCAGCAAATAGTTTCAAATAGTTCGAAACCGTTCCGAACCGTTCACTAATTACGTGGTAGCTTGTTGGGTGAGTGAATGGTTCGAAACCGTTTCGAACCGTTTCCCGCTAATCACCGGTGATTAGTTCGAAACCGTTTCGAACCGTTTCCCGCTAATCACTGCATAAGATATATTACATACTTTTTTGTTGAGATTTTTACTTAAGATTTATAACTTATAACAACTTATAACTTCTAGCACTTAAATCTATTCATATGCAAATGTTTTATGATGTGTTCTGTTGTAGTTCCCTTGTTATTCTTCTGAGCGGCGCCGGTGGAAACGACCACGTCGGTTGAATACATTGTTCAAGTGAAAAAATGTTGTGGGCGTGATTGCCATTGTGGTCTTCTCTCCTCTTGTCTTCTGGTTGCGCACTTGGGATCTGAACACTTGTCTAAAATGCCACAGTGGGGATCACTCGAAGGAAAGTAATTCTTATGAAGTGTTACACTGCAATTTGAATGGTTTTCAGTTTTCATCCTAAGTTCCAATCTCTTATCCCAGATCCATCTCTGTGCTAGACTGACCCTGCTCAAATCTCAGGAAACCCAAGACCGAAGCAAAGGAGAACGCAAGTGTCAAGAACAAGAAACGCAAAGACAAGCCGACTGAAAAGTCTGACGCAGCCGAGGGGTCGTCAAAGACCGCCAAGGGTCGCAAAAGCAAGTGACCAGTTTTCTTCGATGTTTTCCAGGGATAGTCTTGACTGGAAAGCCGCCAGTAAACAGGGATGCCTTGGAGATCTAATCTTGGGGCGTGGACAAGGATAAGAGGTGGGTGTAGCCACCACATGGTCCTGCTGTGACATAACTGCACAAAATTTGCCGAAACTATGACATAGTTTGTGCTTGTTGTTTTTCAAACATTGTTTTCCGGGTTCATGTGACAACACGGGGACCAAAGGCCTGTAAATATGGTGCTTGAAACCTCCCTCCACCTTGTCTACTTTCTTTTGCTTAGCACAAACCGTGCTGAACATGAGGACACAACGGCAGGAACCAGACAAAACGGAAATCTTTGCTTGCTGCAGCATTTTGGCATTACATCAAATCTGGCCAGGCCATGCCAGGCCATATTGAGACTTTGAAGCTGGGGGTGAGAATTAAGCTTTGGGCCTAGGATTTGAATCTCTCAGTACATTGTCATTTTCCGGGTCAGCCACGAACACATGCAAATAAATCCGGCATTGATCACCACATCGGAAGAACCTTCCCGTATACCTTCACTATGTATATGCTTTAATTTATGTGTGATATAGGGTTTCCATGTATGATTTTGTGATTAGTTCCTGTTTTTTCCTCCAAATTTAGTGATTAGTTGGGGCCATTCCACCATAGTTTTTGTGAGTAGTTCTTGCAGTTCTTGTGAATAGTTTCTTTACATATTCTCCTTTCATGGCAATTTGTGAATAGTTTCCAGGTAAAGTGGGTGAAATTAGTGATTAGCGTAGGGCTGCCCCCCTCTTCCCACAGACAAAGAGGCCAAGGCAGCTCCCAAAATATAACATTAGATAATATGAATTCACATGATACAATACAATAGAACACGCACACACACACATGTTTTGTAGCCAGCCATTCTGTGCTAGGTGTGACCACATGTGACCACTAGTGGGCGAGGATATCAGCCAACGCAATTGGACACACATGACAAACATCAACAACAGCTATGGGGGAATCCAATTAATCGAAGGAGGTTTAGAAGTCAAACTTCTGACTTATGGACAGATGCAGCAACAGGTTTGGGAAGAGTCAGAGCGTAGAAAGAAGATCCAGGTGCCCGAAAAGGTAGAAAAGTCGGGAAACACAGGTTTTTTCCTTTAATAGCCGGGAATCCGAGATTTGAGTTCTTACGCTGTGAATTTGGTGGCTTCTCCTGGTTAACGTTTTGGTTGATTTGTTTACTGCCGAAGGACCAGCGTGGAGGCAAAGAACTGCGTGAGAGCAACAGCAAGGAACTGAAGGACAGCAAGTCCAGCGGAGACTTCCGCGACAAAGGCAGTGATTCTGACAGATCTTTGGCTGGATCGCCTCTGGATTTTTTTGATTCTCAGGGCCCAGGGTAAGCGATGTGCAGTGCACTTCTGTGGTGGGGGTCTATGCTCCATGGCCGCGTGTGTTTTCTTTCTGTGTGTACGTGATGCTGTGATATTTGTATATGTGCGAATATGTAATCGTTATTTATATATATATACATATGTGTGTGATCATGGGCGCATTTATTTTTCAAACGTATGTGTGTATGCAACTGTATACATATATTTGTGCATTTGTATGTTTGTGTATATGCTGATTTGTATGTATACGTGTAAACGTGTGTATATACATATATTTGTACATATGCATACACACATGGTTTTATACACACGTAAAGAAACAAGTATACACACATGCCCATGTATATATATATATATTCACTTTTTTTTTTTGTGGATGCAGAAATTTGTGTAGGTGTATTGCAAAATGTAAACAGTTATATATGTACACCTGCATGCAAATATACCTGTACATGTATGTACACACATGCAAACAAAAATCATGTATACCAAGAGAGGTGCATAAATGTGTTTAATGTAATGTAATGTAATGCAATGCAATGTAATGTAGGGTAAGTCTGTATGTATGTATGCATGTATGCATGAATGTATGTAATTTATCGTAATGTATGTAATGTATGTAATGTATGTAATGCATGTAATGTATGCAATGTATGTAGTGTATGTTTTAAATGTAATATATGTAATACATGTCATGATGTATGTATGTAATGCATGTAATGTATTGTAACGCAATGTAATGCAATGTAATGTAAATTAATGTATGGAATGTATGAATGTATGTGTGTATGTGCGTATGTGTGTATGCATGCATGGATGGATGGACGTACGCACGCACGCACGCACGCACGCATGTATGTATGTATGTATGTATTGAAATACATACGCTTCTTTGCACACACACACACACATTTGCTTCAATGTCAGTTTATGCCCAGAAATGCCAACATGATTGTATTTAAGTGTACATGCATGTGTACCTATGTAAGCACACAATGTACCAATGTAAACACATGTAAATATGTCAACATATGTGTACAAATACATATTTATACATATATATATATATATATATTCGTATATATCGGTATGTAAGTATACACATATTTAAATATGCACAAACATGTATCGGCATGATTATATATATATTTTATGCATATGTATGTGAATATGTATGTGTAGATGTACAATGCATACCTATACGTATATGTATACGTATACGTATACGCATACGTATATGTATATGTATATGTATATGTATATGTATATGTGTTTTGTATATGCATATGTATTTCCATAATTGTGTACATATATGTAAGTATTTTTGAGGGTATACATAATATTTGTTTATGTTTAGATATGTACAAACATGTATTTTTAGAGAGGTGCAGGTATGTATAGATGTGTGACTTGATGCACACATAAATGTGAATTTACATATTTAGTCACATGCGCCCGAGCCTCTGCACTTCACACGTCAACATACAAAGATTAAAAAAATACCCCACCAACAGGCCGGCCCTTTGAAATTTCAGAATTGCTTAAAGGCTTTCATCAGCACTTGGCATGATTCTGCCCTTTGTTTGCAGGGTACTAGGGATCCTTGGGTCAGCATCGAACCACCCAGCTATTCCAAGCATTTAAGGACAACGCATTGCGCAACTCGGATAGCAATGGTGGGGTCTCTGGCCCATTGGGGCACGTCCGAAAAGGTCGGCATCAATGCGTTCAACAGGGTTTTCAAATGAACCACCAATCACTCAGTTTTTGAGGAAAAATGGCTGCCTGCCCGAGATGCCCGACTTGACCCTTGGATCATGTGGGGGGGTTATACGCATAGAGCAAATACAAAACATGCTTCGGACCAAGGCATATCAAGGGATGCTACATGACAAAAATTATCACAAGGGCATGTCATGGTATGTCCGACAATTTGGAACTCCCATATCCAAATAAGTATAGTAACATGGAAAACCAGGAACAACTTGGCGTAACTTGGTGATGTTTTCCTTTGATGTGCAGCCCTGTTGATATGTGGCCAATCATGTCAATAGGCATGGTCACAGTCCAGATAGAACCAGGACAGCCTTCGCTTATGATCGCTTATTCAGACGTTACTATTCAGTTATTATATGACATATCAGATTGGGATGCGAATTAGAATCACCGTTTTTCCAGCATTTTAAAACTTCCTCATGGATGTTCCCTGGCTCTGCAAGGATGCTGCCAGTCAAACCTCAATCTGCGATGGAACTGAAACCCATTGGCCTCTTGAAAGCACAAGGACGTGCTCATCGCGGGAAACCATTGGAAGCACCATATTTTTGGGCATGGTTTACTTACAAATGATGCCAAAGAAAGTTGGGGATGGTTTCTTTTTGAACAATTCGTTAAGCCTTGGACCTTGTGGATGATACTCACGGCCTGCGATCCAAGAATTTTGGTGTCAAGCGACTTGGTTGGGGGCCTCTTTTTTTCTCTGCGGTGAACAAGTTCTCGGACAATCGTCATCTGATCAACAAAACAAGGGCAGGTTCATCAGTTGTCCGGGGGCACGTGTTCTTTTTTTCCTCGCGTTCGCATCTTGGAACCCGATATCACTATGAAGTATTCTCGTTGGTGTTTTTTTGATGGATGGCCCAGCGGCAAACCAGCTCACTTGCTCATTTTGGTTGAGCTGCATTCCCATTAGGTGGGCAATTAAAAAAAAACACATCCCCTTTCAACCCGTCTAGTGATCATCATCTCGACAGCATCATCATCATCCCATTTGGTAATCAAAGATGGCTGGAAAACCATTGAAAACCATTGAAAACCATCATTCAGTTCGATGATGTTCAGTAGAAAATACTCGAATAACCCCTATGCCGTGTATGCATGTTCATACCACATAGTGGTCCCAAAACGGAGCCCACTATATTGTTGTTGCCTTTGACTGTAGAGTGTACATAATGTCAGGGCTTTTACAACGGGAATAGACTATTCAAATAGTTATCAACAATGATAACTCATTTCCTTAATCCTGTAATCCGGGGTTTTGGTCATCAAACCATTTACTTGGCCAACAACGTTTGGCTCAAGGTGCCCGCTAAAACAGGTGTCGTTGCTTAGTGTCACTGGCCATTGTTACATCTGTTGACTACTGCATCTTGAATACACGTGAATATTACTTCTGGTACAATCCCCGCATTCACTGGATTTACTGGAATTTTGTGGTTATCAGCCGTAGCCCGGCTTATTTCTGCAGTTGTGAGATCAATTGGGAGCTATTGAAAGACTGAACATATCGGCAAGAAATCTAAGACTTCAATTGCATAGATCACTGAATTGTTCTTTCATTGGCACCTTCAATCTTTCACTCGCGCTTGCGCGACAATTTTCCCATCCTTCGCCGCCATTGGCGCGACTGCATGTCTGATCATAGACGTGACCGTTCCCGATCAAGAGTTCGAACTCGTGGCAGACGAGGGGGCAACCCGTGGAGGTCCAGCCAATTGAGCAGGTACAACCGCGGTGTGTCTTCAGCCATCGATTTTGCTACAGCAGAGGAACTTGGTCGGGCACCTCCGGAGCCACCTCAGCCACCACCACCGGCACCGGGTGCTAGGGGTGAGTGGAGGTGGGTTTGGGTCCCAGAGCAGGCTGACGTGAGGGACAGGCCTGCTGGTGATTCTGAGCCAACTTCGGCGTCTCGTCCTCGGTTGACATCTTCTTCAGTGGCACCAGTGCCAAGGCGTTCTGATCGATCTTCGGCGGAAACTCCGACAGGGGTGGAAGGCAGGAGCTCACGGGACTCGGCTGGTGTTGTGGAGGGACGTTCATCCAATCGGGCAGCAACATCACCTCGCGCAGAGCGCGAAAGGGAAGTTCCATCTCATCCAGCAACATCACCTCGCGCAGCGCGCGAAAGCGGCGATCCATCTCGATTGGTGACAACATCAACTCGCGCAGTGCGCGAAGGTGGAGATCGACCTCGACCGGCGGAAGCATCAGCTCGCGCTGTGCGCGAAGATCGAACTCGGCCGGCGGAGACATCAGCTCGCGCTGAGCGCGAAAGAGAGGTGAGGACATCTGGCGCGCAGAGCGCGATACAGCCTCAGCATCGACTCCAGTGACCACAAGGAGGACCATTCGAGTTCCGGCCAGGACATCATCGACGGCAGGGACCAGTGAAGTTTCTCGCATCGGGTCAAGGGGATCGTTGAGGCCTGCGGAGCCTAAGGCTGCTCCAAAGGCAACAGTGGTGGCCAAGGCAAAGGCCGAACCTCGTTCATCTCCAGATTCATCGGTGGCATCTACTCGCCCAGGAACTTCGGTTGAGCGACCGCTCATAGTTCTTGATTGGCATCGGACGCTGTCCTTTGAGTCTCAGAGTGGTGGATCCTACGTGCCCGAGAGGGTGAAGCAGACGCTTCGACGAGCTCAGTCATTGGGCTACGATCTTGGCATTTGCTCCTTCGCATCGGCGCCAGCCACTCAGTCCAGGGTGCTTCGTGAGGCACGTGATCTTGAGACTGAGTTGACACGAGCTTTCAGGTTCATCCACGTGGTCAACCGGAAGTTCACTTCGGATCCTGCCCGTGACAGGCCATCGCTCACGGGCTGTGCCACATCTAAGGCAGAAGAAGTCTGCCGTGTGGGGGCGGCCATTTTTGTGGACGACCAGCGCTCCCTCCTGCAGGAGGTGGAGCAACTTCAGGCTCGTCGAGCCGCTGGCAACAGGTGTCGGGTGTTGATCTCGCACGCCAATCGGCCATCGGCAGCTCTTGAGGAGCTCGACGATCTACTGGAGGAGGAGTCGGCTGCAGATTTCGGGTTGCCCAGCTTCTTGCGAAGCCTCTGGTGAAGGAGTGCAGGACATCTTGAGGAGTTGTTCATTGACTCATTTCTCAGCGGCGCAAGCGCAAGAGCAAGAGCAAGAGCAAGAACGAGGTTTCACTGCAATTGTTGCCAAGGAGTTTCACCGCAATTTTTGCTTGTTTCAAGTTTCACTGCAACATAGTTTCACCGCAACAGGTTGTTTCACTGCAAGCTTGGTGTTCGGCATTTTGCCCTCCTTCTCGCGCTTGCGCGATTTGTTGGAGAAGTTTGCACTGCCAGTTTTGCTCGCTGCCATCTGGCGCAATTTTGCATAGCTGATTGGCATTGACAAGTTCCCTGAATTTGAGTTCCCGTGCCAAAACATGAAGAGGGAGGTGCCGGCGACCCCATTCAAAGTGGACGGACCCAACAGTACATGGACTTCATCGACTGACTCCCCAGAGAAACTTGCAGAACAGCAATCTCAGCAAGCTGCAATGATGCACATTAGTGACCAACCTGCCAACCCGACTCAGGAGGCGATATCTTTGGCGAACAGGCTGAAGAGAGGACAGGGGTCAGCTGCGGCATCTGGTGGTTCAGCTCAATGGGGTGGAAGTTCAGCTTCGGGTCAACACGGTGTTCCCCCTAGTCTTCATCAGCACAATACCATCCAACAACATATGTATCAACAACAGGTCAACCAGATAGACCCTACACAGTTGGAACAATTGTTGGAATCACTGGTAAACGCAAAGGCAGAGGCAAACTATCAGCAACTCCGACAGCAAGCGCAACAAGAAGTTGAAAGCATCAGGCAACAGGCAGGAAACAATCACCAAATGTTGCAAGATCAGGTGTACCAAAAGTTGCAACAACTCAACCAAGAGAAACAGATGCTTGAGATGAGAGAGAGACAAACTCATCAACAGGCACAACAACGTTTTGAACAACTTCAACAAGAAGCCGTCAACCAGATTAAGAAGTTGTCCGAAGACAACATGAGGCTACAGGCAGAACTTGAGGATAGCCGCAAGTCGGCTGAGGGCCAAGTGAACTTCGTGAAGTTGCAGGCCGAATCTGAAAGACAGAGGGCTGTGGCGGAGCTCAAGGAACTTAGCTCCAAATTGGAGGTGATCATGACCCATCCTGAACGGGTAGGATCGACATCTGGGACGATGATGGGGTCACCTATTGGGAATCCTTTTGAACATCTACCCCAAGCTTACCAATCAGCCCAGCCAACTGAAATCATGTCAGCAGGTGCTAGTATTGCTAGTGCCAATCCTCTGGAAGTGATGTACTGTACATGTTGTGGATCACAGAATGTCATTGGACGACCGTCATGTTGGAGATGTTCAACATTACTGAGCACATTGACAGCCAAGAATGGCGCGGATTTGAATAGAATTCAGGATCATGGTTTTGACCCAGCACCATGTCCGCCCCCAAGTTTGGCACCATCCAGCTTCCGAGCATTGCAAGGTGTGGCAGCTAGCAGCGCGTCTATCGCAGCTGCGGCCGCGGCACCTATGGCGATCTCAGCGAGGTTTCCTGGAGGATGCGCGTCAAATGTCGCGCAGAGTGGGAACTTAGCTTCAGGGGGGCTGATGGCTCAGACTGGTTGTGGTCTTGGGGTTGGATCAAATGGTGGTACAACAAATCAATGGGGTGGTTTTGACCCGAATGGCCCCAGAATCCAAGCCGGGTACATTGTACCAGGTAGAGGACAACAAGGTGAGAAACCGAAACCTGCTGGACTTCAGGGCTCACAACATGGTGGGATTCCATCCTTTTCCATTCACACACCCAAGAACAGTTCACCAACAAATGGTTCGTCATCATCATCGAAGGACTCAAATGAGGATGGTTTTAATCAGGCTCCCAAAGATGGTTGGTTGTTGCCAGATGAAACTGATGAAAGTGTTTACAAGCACAAGCACCTCAAGTCCATTCAGATTACCAAGCTTCCCAACGACGCGACTTCGTGTCGCGAGTGGCGTGCGGCATTCTTGGCCGCAGTTAGCAGGGTTGACATGACGAACCGGGATGTGCTAGTGAAGTTTGCCACATGGTGCATGGAAGGTGGTCGAGGTAGACGGTTCCGAGATTATCTTCAGAGTTCGAATGACTTTTTGTTATTCAATAAACATGTGGCGGCCGAGCTGATTAAACCAGAGGTGTTGGCCACAAACTCAGAGCTAGCGCACGAACTCACGTCGTGGGTGGAATCATGTTCAGCGAAACAGCAGGGACCCAAAGGCATGGCTCTCATGCACATCATTATTGCCTTTTACGAAACAGGTCCGGACCAATCCATCGCTTTGAACCAAATGCATCTCTTACAGCTCCAATTGCAGGGAAAGACTGCGAAGGATCTTGCAGAGTTTGTGAAACGTGGCAATTACATCTTGCATGGCTTGCGCCCAGGAGACCGCCCTGCAGAGGCGACACTCTACAGCTGGC